GCAGGAGAAACGGAGAGAGAGAGCGCATGAGGGAGAGAGAATAAGGAAGGGAAATAATTGATTCCTAATATAAAGGGATACTCATTTAATTTCAAAAATGTATATAATTGGTAAATTTGTATATTGGAGGTAATTAAATTGAAATTTGAATAGGGAGGATAATAAAGTTTCCAACAGTGTATAGTTATATAAAAATTCATTTTCAAAATGACTATGATACGTATCTACTAGTATATCATACACAATAAACACTAATGAAACTAACAGCAATGTCACCCTCTTTTAGACAGATTTTTACAAATAAAGATTGAGAAATCGTACTTAACTCTGTATGGCCCTTTGCTCATCTGTTCTGAGATGGTGCAGTTATTAGCTGTTTTATAAGCTTCCTCGTAATAGAACTACTATCTATAATTTCCTTTTTTAAGTCTTGGTTGGAGTTTGTTTACAATTTTACCATTTTAATTAATTCAATAATAAGTAAGCCTCTGGCCGTCGATGAAACTGTTTTGACTCAATGATAACTAACATGGGTAGAAACAAGTCTAACCGCAACATGTATGTGGTTGCCAATTTTCTTTTATATTTTCCAACAGCAAAATATTTCAAATCATTAATTTCTTTCTATTCTCTACAGATAGCGTATAGGGAAGTATTCAAGTAATGAAGCATTAAAGTCACATGAGGTTACTGAAACTCAAATGTTTACTATTACAATTGGAGTTTACCCTCCATTTCTTCTCCATTTTTCAAGTTTCTGAATCTTTCTTTATTTTTGCAAGACACTTTAGCCGGACCGCCCGTTTAGTAAGTGGAAGTTTTGAGTTCAATTCTCAACAGGAATATTATATTTGGATCCGATCATACCAGCACTAATAAATCGGATCCCATCTTTACTACGAAATTACGCGTGCTTGGGCGAGAGTAGGATCCGATCATACCAGCACTAATAAATCGGATCCCATCTTTACTACGAAATTACGCGTGCTTGGGCGAGAGTAGGATCCGATCATACCAGCACTAATAAATCGGATCCCATCTTTACTACGAAATTACGCGTGCTTGGGCGAGAGTAGGATCCGATCATACCAGCACTAATAAATCGGATCCCATCTTTACTACGAAATTACGCGTGCTTGGGCGAGAGTAGGATCCGATCATACCAGCACTAATAAATCGGATCCCATCTTTACTACGAAATTACGCGTGCTTGGGCGAGAGTAGGATCCGATCATACCAGCACTAATAAATCGGATCCCATCTTTACTACGAAATTACGCGTGCTTGGGCGAGAGTAGTACTAGATGGGTGACCCCATGGGAAGTCCTCGTGTTACATCCCTCTTTCCCAAACCCCACTTGTGGAATTCCACTGGGTTGTTGTACTTGAGCCCGACCGTCCTAGTTGGATGAATTAAAGATCTCTGTGTTCATAGATTTAAACTCATCATTGTTCCACACAATTCTAGAGAATGAGCTGCAATAAATGTAATACATTCACCTTTTGGACGCCTAAAATTTAGATGCAAATGAATGCTCTTTATGTTACCTGAGTTATTCAGAGTGCAGAAGAGTAAACTACCACCCCAAACTTACATGAAGCATGGCAGCAAGGATGGAAATGAAAAATCTAGAGATAAAGAAGGCAAGGACCAGAAACAATTACAAATGCTTAAATTAAAGTTGAGAGCAAATAATACACGCAACATTTTACAAAAATCCATTGTCGTCACTGAAAAATGGAGCATCAGAAAAACTGATATCTTTATTGAGAGATCTAATCTACAGCTGATCTGCACGTAACCAATTCTTCTAGCCACGCAAACAAATACATAATCTTGGAGCCCAAAACAAAACAAAATATGATTTAACAGCCAAACTCACTCGTCCAACAAGGAAGAACACAAAGATACTACACAAATATGGAACAAGAGAGGATCTTTCTCTACTCTGCTCTAGATTGACCAGCGCGAGAAGAAAGGATGATGCCGACAATAAGGCCGTAAAGAGCCAAAGCTTCAGCGAAAATAAGAATCAGAATCATCCCAACGAAAAGCTTTGGCTGCTGTGCATTAGCTCTGCAAATAACAAAAAGGAAGCAACAGCAATTAATTGATTTTTCTCTCACCTCAAGTCCAAGGGAAGCTTCATCCACAGTGAAGGATAAACGAAGAAGTCAGCAGTACCATTGAACGCTACATAAGAAAGGGGAACATACTACAAAAAGAGGCATAAGTATAATGCAGTGAAGTCATGATTTTCAACCCTACATTAGTCAACCAACAAAACCCACACCATGACTACAACATGAGACTGCAACATTTTAAATACCAACTCAGTAAAGCCACCAAGGCCTAGAAGTCTGATAACTTAGCAACACTAGAGCCCCTTTTTATGAAAACAAAAAGGAAAGTACAATCTTTAAAGGTGAACCCAAGCATGCAGAATTAGCTATAGCCCGAGGTTCTAACCACCATTCTCCAATGTCCTCCCTTTGCACCGTACCCATTTAAAAGAATCATCCATGTCCATTCCCGTAATTAATCCCACATCTGCCACCGGAGTAATGTTATCTAATCAAGCCATGTAGAACAGTTTATATCTTAAACAGAACAACACTAGATGAACTTTAATCCTTCCAGGGTCTATATATTCACAAAAGGTTATCTACTACTTTTATCACCAAAAAAACACGGTCAATCACATGCAAATTAGATCAAGCAATTTTCAATGAGGCCGAACTATTAAAGGAGATAGAAACAACCCACAAACTTTGTTACTCAGCCAAATACACAATTCACCATTACTCATTAAAGACAAAAGACAAAAATCCCTAAAAAGGAGGGAACTTTATTTTGATAACATAAAGTAATTTATGTATTATTTTTCAAAAAAAAAAAGGAGACTTTCAATACCGCACAACTAGAAACAAATAAAAGCTTCACTACTAAGAATAGACCGATCATTATAACGGACATTTCAAAAGGTAATCAAATGGCACAGAATTGAGTAAAGATCTGAATCTGTGTATACACACAGGGTGGTTCTGGGCCAGCTTGCGCACATATTGACTATTCTATCGGGTACCTGCTACCTCCAACCCGCATAGATACCAGGTAACTCTGCCGACTAAGGCTTAGACAGCAGCCAGCATGCTCATAAGATTTATTCCAGCAGCAGCATTGAATTAAACACAATCAACCAACCAACTACGCAATATCAAACTAGTTTGGATCCGCTAAATGAATCATTTACATATCTTTATGAATCTTCTATATCCAATTCCTCATTATCTGTATTTCATTCCAATCATAAAATTTGTATTTAACATAACACGACGATTAAACATGATAGCTCAAAATTAGCAGACGAATGAAAAAATACCTAACACCAGCATCGCCAACGATTCCAATAGCCATACCAGCAGAAAGGCCAGCGAGACCACAAGCAAGTCCAGATGAAAGGTGAGCATATCCATCAAATAAATAATACGACTTTGTTTTCGGGTTAATCCCAGTACTAATAATCACAGCTATAATTAACCCATAAATACCCAAAACTCCAGCCATAACAACTGGCACAATTGACTTCATCACCAATTCCGGCCTCATTACTCCCATCGATGCTACCCCTACCCCACTTTTCGCTGTTCCATAAGCTGCTCCCATACCTAAATAACAACAAAAAATAGAATCAGAATTAGAATTAAGCAAATTAAACACTAGATCTAATGGAAAATTGAAATTGGAGGCGAAGAGTACTGTACAGGAGAAGACTAAGGCAGCTGCAGCGCCGAGGAACCCGAAGAACGGTGCCGTTTCATCGCCGCTAAAAGTCGATGCCATTTTTTCTTCGAATTGGAATTGAAGCGATTCGCGATCTGAGAGAAAAAAAAAAGTTTATTGATCGGAATCTGAGAATGTCTGGTCCTTACTTTACGATTGATCTTAATATTGGTCTGAAAATGAATCGTAGTATCTTCGATGGTCAACTACCGGGTCTGGAGGATTGGGCCTTAGGCCTACTCACTCTTTTGGCCCAAGACTAGTCTAGGATGACTTGTGGGGCAAGTGTGCGCATGCAGTCATTCTCGAGAATGCTATTTAAAGATTAGTCAATATTTATTTTATCCTAAAATTTTTAGTTAAATATCTGAATCTCAAGAATTCAGGATACTTTTGTCCCGAGAAATTACAAAATTAAAATTTAAAGTGCATTGATTAATTTCTAAATAGCAACCCTTTATAGTGGCTGCTACCAGGCTTGTCTAGCAATTATTTCCTAAGCCCATCCTAGATAAAAACCCGTAAAAATAGCACGGACTAGCCAGTTTTCGGACTGGTCATTCAAAAATAGCCAACGTTTTTCAAGTCATTGAAAAATAACCACTATTTTGCTGCAACAGAGACCAGTCCAGCATAATATACTGGAGTTCGATGCACTTGTGTATGAACTTCCAGCATATTATGCTGGAATTCCAACACACGGAAAGTTCCAGCATAATATACTGGAGATTCGAGCTCATGTGTATGAACTTCCAGTATATTATACTGGACTGGTATACTTTGTTGGAACTCCAGTATATTATGCTGGAGTTCTAATGTACTTATGCTGGAACTCAATTATATTATGCTGGAGTTCTAATGTACTTATGCTGGAACTCAATTATATTATGCTGGAGTTCCAGTATACTTATCTTGGAACTCTAGTATAATATGCTGGAGTTCAAGTATACTTATGCTGGAACTCCAGCATAATATACTGGCGTAATTTTCCGGATTTTAAATAGTGTTTTCGCTCAGATTTATCTTTACATGAAAAGTGGCTAAATTTCTATTACTTTTGAAAGCGTGACTATTTTTGAACGACCACTTGTAAATTTGGCTATTTTTGAATTTCCCCCTAAAAAACTTGCATATGTGTTTCCACCAAAACAAATGAATAATCCTATTTTTAGGGAAGTTACACGTTTGATTGCTCTGTCAAAATATTTACAGTCCCCAGCCAATTAGATATTTTATACACCAATTATGTTATACGTTTGCCAATTTTCTTTCTTTTTTTTTTGGGCGAGCGGCTATATAAGTTAATTTCTCTATATTATCTTTACCTTAATTTTTTATTCGTCAAGCTAAAAATCTTGGTTAGTTTGAAACACCGGCAATTTTTAATTATCACTCTCCTCTGTCAAATTTTTTAGCTTTCTTTTTTCTCTTTTGCTATTATAATGAAGTAATTATTATTAAATGAGTTCAAATTTCATTTATCGATAGAGTAAAACAAATTTATATGGTCATGTCACTTAAAAAGAATTCGTCAAGTGCTTATAACAGACATGAGTTATTGAACTAGAGAAAAGATTGAGTGACCTGCTGCAAGTGACTAAATTACTGCAGATGATTTTCACTTGACCCAACTTTTCCTTTTTAAGCGCCGCAAATGATTTTCACGTCTCAAACATCTAACTTTAGATGTTGGTTCAAATGGTATCACCACTGCTCTTTTCCCCTGCTCTTCGGGCTGCATAGAATACCAATAAAATAATGTCCTCAGGCATTTAATTGAGTTGAAATACCAGTACTGTTCCATTAAGATCATTTGTTTCCTTTCATGCTTGGCTTGGACTTTGGAGTCATTAACCTTTGTAACATCTAAGTTTAGAAAGCTTAAATACTTTGATTTTATAAACTTCAGTAATCACGCTACTTTATAGCCTTATATGTTCAAACAATAGCGTGCTATCTGATTCAAGGAGGAAGAAGAACAAATTGAAATCCAAGAGAACATACAGAAAACATCCCTCTACGTTCCGGAAGCTATATATATTGGAATGTGCCATGGAGCTAACCTAACTTGAAAACAAAACCACTGGTGAAAGAAGCAAAATTGAAAAACTGAAGTTATCGGAAGAATTTAAAGAGAAAAATCTGAATATCGAAGTAAAACTATTTACAAAAAGAAATCTCGCCTCAACTTCAGTAACCACGTTTAAGCCTCAACAGAAGCGATTTCTTCCTCTGCTCTGATCTTCAACATCGATACACATTATCGCATGGTTAATGCATGCTGTCAAAATAAAATAAAATTTCTATAGTGCATCAATGCATCAAGAATAAACAGACGTCACAGATGCAAAAAAATCTCAGGGAGAAAGGGAGATAATACCATATAACAAGTAGAGTCTACTGAAACAATGAATCCATACAGCTGAAATTAGTATGAAGTTTCTTCTCATCGATTATCTTGTAACAAAAATCTTAACTAGCAATTAAGTGCTGGTAATCAACAACAACAGCTAGACAAAGGAACTAGGAAATCAATTTGCCAGAATATCTTATGTGCACTTCTCATTTGATTGAGTAAGACGACAAATATAGGAGGTAAAAGTTATTAACTGCAGTGTTCCCTTGGGCAAAAATAAGCACGAGTACACAACCATACATTGGACATATACAGGAGTATTTGAGAAACGAGCTACTACATGCTCAGAAAATTATGGAAAAGCTTTAATAATTAGACTTTCACACTAGTACAAGAAAAATCTGACTTTGAACTAAATAATAAGCTTTAATGATTAGACTTTCACACTAGTACAAGAAAAATCTGACTTTGAACTAAATAATAAGCTTTAATGATTAGACTTTCACACTAGTACAAGAAAAATCTGACTTTGAACTAAATAATGGAAGCAGAAATAGTTACCTTTGCAAATAACAGAAAGAATAGCAAAATAAAAAACCATAAAGTCCACTACAATTGGCCAGTAAATGATGGAAGTGGAAAGAGTTACCTCTGCAAATAACAGATAGATTGGCCAACTAAAAGACCATATAGTCCATGACAATTTGCAGTAAAGCGTATAATGAACAATGACCATTGGCCTCACATGAACATCCGAAGACTTGATACCAAGTAATCTCAAAAGGGGGCCTTGGACATTTGGCAAAAGATTGGATGCTAGCAATCCAATTATGAACCTCTTCCTCCGTCTCAATGATAGTACAATCAACAGCATTCTCCAGTGAACAGCGTAGAGCTGACATTTTCATCTTTATGTACGGCCAGTATTTCATTCCAAGATGTTCAATATGATAAGTGATATGCTTCTGCGAAAGTGTATATGATCAAATTCACCAACCCAATCCGAGGATATACTTCTTGCCTGATGGATAGGCAATCTACTCAAAATCTTACAGAGAGACAGAGAGTGACACAATAGGAGGAGAAATAAACACAATTTCTAATTGACAATACCAAAAATGTAGAAGGCCCTCAAAAATAATAGATCTGGAACGTATAATGATCCCAATGGACCCAAAGACTCGAAGAAATAATAATTTTAATAATAATAATAATAATAATAATAATAAATTAAAAAAAAGCAACAGATAAGGACTGGAAAAGGCAAGTCCAAAGAGAAGACTCTCCTCCTGTCAAGTATTCTCTCAGCTACATGCATAACCTGACAATAAAGGAAAAAGTATAAGATCAGATAGCGCATGTGAGAAATCAAAAGACTACAACCGCAAATATGCATAAAATGCCAGCATGCATCTCTTTATCAAATGCAAACTTCTAATGAAGAATGAAAGTGCATTTGAATAACATAAGGTGCATTTAAATAACATAACATTTCCGTTGAAAGAAAATGAGTACATGGGGAAACAATCACCTCACTTTCAATAACAAAATGGCATGTAAATCCCCGAAGTTCCAGCACTCACCTTTGGAGCGAATAAAGATCATTCATCCCACTAGGGGGCAAGGAGAGGAAACGGAAACAGGATATAGAAAACTCACTTGTGTACTCCCCTTGTTCTCTTCTTTTTGCCTTCTTCACTGAATAACGCGTAGGAACTAGGAAACATCATGAACCAAGATCAAGCCACTTGGAGAAAATTGCCAAAAGCACACAGCATAAAATGTTCTTTTGATTCCATGGAGCAGTTCCACAGATCAGAGCAAGAAATTGATATAGGATCACTAAGAGATTTCATCTTCAAACTTATCAAAGAAAAAAAAATCATCTTCAGTAAATAAATTTCTTTAAGGGAGGGAAGATAGAGAGTTTTGTTTTACTTATTCTCAGAAAAAATCAAGATTTCAAAATGAAGTAAGGATATGATGCCTCAAAATGTTATGTATATTTGTTGCAACAATAACAATCCTAAGCTGTACACATACCAAAACTAAAGAAAAGTCAGAAGTGATTCAAAAGAGAACCCTGAACTGAAAGAAAGAAAGGGCTACTTTTTCCCTAAATAATACAGCTTCAAATCTGACTACCAATTGTAAACCTAATCTTGTTATCTCCGAAGGAATTCACGTCTATCAGCAGGAGTAGAAGTATAACATTCACATGGCAAAAAAATTTCTTTTCAACCGACTTTTCCACCTTGAGAATGTTTTTCTTGCAGGCACCCTGCTACAGAAATATCAAAAGTGCCAAATTTATGGCAGGACAATTGATCAGTCTCTGACTATAAACAGATCCACAAGATGCTCAACAAAACGGTCTTGTCTTTCATGCCTGCAGCTCTATAGAGAACTAGCTTAGCGAGGATCATTTTTTAATGAGGAAGACATTCCTCACTCGCCAATGATTGTTGTATCCACTAGTGAACAAATAGATCAGACTAATCACCCTGTGGCAAAGCATCAATAAGGATGATTATTCATCCGTGGTTCCATTATGATTTTGCACCCGGCTTCATCAGCATATACCTTTCTATCAACTTGTCTACGAAATCTCTAATCTGCAGATTTACCAATACAACAAATCAAAGGCAGAGAAGCAATGAAAAGAGAAAACAAATATCAAGCACATTGAGCAAGTGCTATGAAAAACACAAGTATTTCTTTCGAGTAAATCTCCAAACAGATCCATATAATTCTTAGTCTTTTTTATTTTATCATAATAATCCTTGGTATTTTGATCCCAACTGTATCCATTGTTCTCACTTGGACCTACACGCACTCTTTTTTAAAGGCGACAATCTGCCCATTACCGGCAAATGGGAGGTGTTGTCCCAAGTGGCAATGGAGGGTACAATATGATGACAGTGTGGGAGAGAGGGGAGAGTGGCACTGTTAAGAGTGTGATAGAGGGAGTCAGAAAAATTGGCAAGGTACAGAGCAACATGGTTTTGGATGGGAAGGATGCTCTCCAGGAGCAAAAGAACAACAGGCACCAAACTAGGGAGGAGGTATAGTTGTTGGGTTTNTAGACTATATTGCTGGTGGGAGTGGGGTGGTGGACCTGCAACTCCTTTTCCTTCATTTCCTTTTGCATGTTTCTTTTCTTTCAATTTTTTTGTTTTCAGAACCTTTTGCTAATAACTATTTTGCCCTGAATTACATCAAAACACTCTCACTGAGGGGTTTCAAATGGGATTTAGATCGGTGCTTTTGAATAATGGGAGATAACCCAACCAGCCTACTGTTTTATCCAGATCAACATGATTGGGCTGATATTGATTCAATGGATTTCCACAGGTAAATACTTTGATTGCTCTGGGTATTTGGGCTTAAATTGACACTACTCTCATGGTAGGCCACGAAATCACGTGTTTTCATTGGCGATAAACAAATGGACCAATTAAAATCAAGATCACGACTATGTTATAACAACTCGATTAGGACCAAATTCATGGCTGAGGGCACGGTTAGGGTACTGTTTTGAGATTACTGTCTAATCAAGATTGGGACTATGTTACAACCACCTAGGAACAAATTCATGGCTGACGGCACACTCAGGATATGGTTTTGTGAATTACTGTTATCGAAAGATGAAGGCATGGAGGAAGACATAAATAAGAAAATTACTCAACTGAACCTATTAAACGATGTAAAAAGGTGACATCAACTGAGAGCAGTTTGTACCTTGTTTTTACGTTTGGAATCAAGAAATTCGTACACCAGCATTGACTTTTCAGCATCAGTGGCATGTTCCATTACCTTGAGTTTGGAACAAGATCAGTTCGCAAAGGATAGATATAAAAAGAGTAACGAACCCAAATTATGGGAAAAAAAGATTAAAGAATCCAATAGGCTAGATAACTAGAGGTGAGACATGACAGAAATCAGACCTTTGTAGCAGTTTTCTTCATTATTGATTTATACCCTTCCTTATCGAGTTTCCGTGCTTTATAAAGAGGCATCAGCAAAGATCCAACATAATCTACAACAGCCTGCTTGATTCTTTCTGCTCCTTTCGGCTGATCATGCAACATCTCTTTATTTACAGTAATTTGTGAAGCGGAGCTCTCACACACTAACACATCATGCTTCCTCATAAGCATTTTGGAACTCATGTTTGAATCCTCTTCATCAGTGACATGCATCACTGGATCATAGAAATCAGAATTAGCAGCAGCTGCTTGACATTGCCACATTTCAATGGCATTGTAATCCTTTATCCCTATACTACTTGAGCTATCAACCCACGCTTTGGTGAATATACTACTATCTACAGGTGCACTTTCGCCTGAGTGCTCCCTAAAATTAAACTGACATGCATTGTCATTTGAGAGGCTACGCTGCGAGCGATTATCAACAGACATTCTTGAACTGTCAAGGTTCACACCAGCAGCAGAAAAATCAACAGACCAATCCCTCACTCGGCAGTTGCGGGAGTCTATTTCAGATAAGCAATCTTGCCTTCCTACTGCACCACCAGGCCAATTCCTTCTGATGTCAGACTCATCATTTGCATATTGTTCCCGTCTAGCAAATTTGTGAAATGAGGGTATCTTAGGAAGCTGCAGAGGCATGTTACACTTAGCACCAGATGAAGCATAAGCCTGCAATGAAGTGTAATTATTGTACAGCTGCCTAAGAGAAGCCAAGATCTATTTATGGAAAAGAACATTAAACAGATAACATAATTTGCAATATAGAGCAGCCCAAAATCAACATAACAAAAGAATCCAACATTGTGTGTTTCCCCTTTTTCTAATAACTAGTCTCTCTGCACGTGCAACGCACGTGTATGCCATATCATATTTACACGAAATATATATACTAAAAGTAGAAGCGCATATTCGAAAAATATTAATTTAGTGCTAATACAAATTGGAACAGCCTAGCTAGCATTCTCGCGTAACCTTTATATCTTTTATGAATAAGTCAAAAGGCATACTCTTCGACAAACTATAAGTCCGTTTTCTAGCCATCACACTATCAATTAAATTTTGGTATATCTCCCTGTTGAAATTTGATTGCTCCAGTAGACGTTGTTGGAAGCAACATTCTTTGATAAACTTTATCTTCTCTATATCCCTCAACCGCATAACAATATCTATTACGCTTTGGCATAATTGTCTTCCCATAATTGATTGCTCTTTTAGAAAATATTCAAGCCTAGTTTTTTTATTTTAATGTACATGTCATGCACAAGATTTTCAGCTTCATCATATACACCTAAAAGTAATTAATATTTATTTATACATATAAATAGTAGAGTTCAAATCTCACAAGTGGATATGAAAGGTTAAATTACATAATTTTAGTTTTTTTGTCCAGTTATGAAAATTAGGTAATCAAATAAGATAAAATTAAGGAAAAAGATCCATATATCCTATGTACTATTCAAAAAAATTCGATTTCTTATGTTTCAATAAATTCTTAAAGGTCGATATCGTTCTCGGGTGATCGACCATGGTCCTTTCTTCACATTAGGCTTATCAGAACAAGAAGCTCTCCTTCCTCTTTCCCGCTTAACTAAATGGGACTTAAATAANGGAAATAGTTATTGCCATACAACTCATTGGTTTTGTTTTAGGGCATCGCATATTAAATTTACCTTGAACAGTTGGGACATATTCAGAGTTGTGTAATTTAAAAATGATATTAGATATATACCAATCTCCATTTGATCATGCCCTTGTAGAGTTTAAATTTTAGTGGATAGTATGATTAGAAATTCAACACATGATGACATGCTTTTGTTTAATTGAATTCAAACTTAAGTAGTTCATTTATGACCTTTAGTTTTATTTGCGCTCGGTCTTTTATGATGAAAACGTAAATGGAATGCACTGTGAATGGCCCAACGGTTATGTTTGACAAAAATATTATAGAAATAGTACTTAGTAGGTAGTTAATTATACGTCCTAATAAAAATATATATGTATAAAATTTAATCACCCCTCAGGACTTAAAACGTTGAAAACTATATTCAAAATGTTTTAACAACTTGAATGTTTCTTTTTTAACAAACGGGAAAAAATATACGTTGAAAATAAACACAGAAAAGAATAAGATTAAGATATAGAGAACTTACTTTTACCATTGATACATATTGACCTGAACACAAAAGTTGAAGTGTAAAATATCTGAACAATAATCCTGGCGTTCTATTTGCTTTGGCAGTGTTGAAAACCCCAAAGGAAATTGGAGAATGGACACCGATCAATTTTATATGTGAAAAATGTGGGATAAAACCATGGGAATCTTGAGTGAATTATAAGTTTTCCTATCATAGCCTTTCACTTTCCATTTAACCAATGTAATGTCACAAGGATAATTTTTGAAACGTTGGAAAAATGATTTGAGTCCTGAAACATAATTCCTCTTCATGGACTTCGGATTTGGTGTTGCCGCTATCTTCTCTATTAGCCAACGGTTGGATATATTATTAACTGTTACAAGGACACAACCTTTCAGAAAAGCCACTTACTTTTCTTCTTCATAATTAATAAGGACATTTTAGTAATTCAACTTTTAACTTTTGAGGTTCCCATTTTTATAATAATATAGATAGATTCGCATACTCGAGGAATAACCCAAAAACCAGTAAAATGTAGCATATTCCCAGATGGAAACAATGAATCAATACGATCAGTAAATCTAGGGGATATTAAATTATAATGAACTAACCTCAGCAGCTGCAAGAGCAGCAACACGAGCAGCTTCTGCAGCGGCGAATGCAGCCTTTTCATCCTCAGACATGGGAAAATCTTGCCTTTCCTCAGTGGTATCATTTTGCCTTCCTACTGAAGCTTGAGAGGTTGATGGTTCAACATCTGGAATAGTTTCCAACGTGGCTAGCTTGACATTCAGCTTCTTGTTGTTGGCATTGCGAATTGGTGGTTTTCCAGATGCTCCAGTGTGTTTACTCTTTGAAGTATCAGCAGCAGTGGATTGCCTTAATAATTTCAGACCACCATTAGCAGCCTTCTCCTTTCGAAAAATTTCTATCCACACATTGACAAGCTGACTTGCTATGGCACGTATGTCACGGCTAGTATGCACACAGACTTTTTCTTTTACAGTTTTCCCGATACCTGAATAAAAGATGACAACAATAGGATCAATAAAATCAATACAAAGACGAAGCAAATGCACCAGTGATATGATGATTATAATGATCATTAGCAATTAACGGATATACAACACAAATACTTTGGGTTTAACGCATAGAAACTCAAATGCAAGAAATGGTTATAGAGAATATAGATAGCCCCGGTGGCATATGCAAGTAAATAATTGGGAGGTAACAATTAGCTAATATCAACAATATGGGAAAAAAGCCGAACAGTTTCAAAGAATATCGCAGTAACTGCATCTCCAACCACCAACCCCCGAAATACCCAAAAAAAGGTTAACATAAAAGATGACTAGAAGGAGAGCAGGATAGGAGGAATGGGGGGGTAAGTTCCTTTTCTCAAAGGTACCTGACAGTCGGACTGCAAGCAAATCAGTTGAGACCTTTACTAGTATACGAACACAATGACGCAAGAGTTGGGTCCCATCTTTGCCCAAGGAGTCCTGTGACCAACAAACATGAGTCAGACAACAAGCAATCTGTGGTCGACAGATATGGCATGAAACTGAAATATGTGAGGAATCATACCAGCATCCACAAATTAAGTGTGCTAAGGCCTTCTTTAGTTCCAGCAAAAGATCTCAACAC